AGCAGAACTTGACTTTAAGTTTGAAATAGTTTTTCAAAATGGCGGCCGTGGCAGCCATATTGAATTTCTGATTGGCCCGAAAAATAACAACACTTTGTCAGGACCATAAGCTGATCATTCCTACAAACTTTAAGTTCAATCGGCCCAGCAGAACTTGACTTTAAGTTTGAAATAGTTTTTCAAAATGGCGGCCGTGGCAGCCATATTGAATTTCTGATTGACCTGAAAAATAACAACACTTTGTCAGGACCATGAGTAGATCATTCCTACCAACTTTCAGTTCAATCGGCCCAGCAGAACTTGACTTAAAGTTTGAAATGTAAAATGTTAACAGACGACGGACGACGACGGACGAAAACGGAGAGCAATAGGTCACTTGAGCTAAAGTTCAGGTGACCTAAAAAAAAGGTGTACCACATGAATTTACATCTATTCTTGTGTAATGTCAATCAACATCACAGGGACAAATAATAATATAGTGACCAAGGGCAATAACTATGCAGGTTACCGTCAAATAATTACCGGACAAAGTTTCATTGAACTCCGTCAACATTTATTCAAGTTATCGTGTTAACAAGGTCCAATAATAATATTATTACAAAGGGCAATAACTCTGTAATTTACAGTAAAAAAAATCCCAGTTTTGAACTCATCCGATATCTTATTGATATAAGGCTACATACAGGGTTTCATCAAACTTGGTTGATATTTACTCAAGTAATCGTGAATACAAGGTCCAATACAAAATAGTGTAATAATATTATTACAAAGGGCAATAACTCTGTAATTTACAGTAAAAAAAATCCCAGTTTTGAACTCATCCGATATCTTATTGATATAAGGCTACATACAGGGTTTCATCAAACTTGGTTGATAATTACATAAGTTATCATGTTCACAATGTCCAATAATAATATTAATACCAAGGGCAATAACTCTGTAAGTTACTGTCGAATAATTCCCACTTTCGAACTCGTCCGGGATCTTATTAATACATGGCTGCATACAAAGTTTCATCCATCTTGGTTAACATTTACTCAAGTTCTCGTGTTCACAAGGTCCAATAATAATATTATTACAAAGGGCAAAAACTCTATAAGTTACTGTCGAATAATTCCCAATTTCGAACTTGTCCGAGATCTTTTTTATATCTGGCTGCATACAAAGTTTCATCAAACTCGGTTAACATTTACTCAAGTTATCGTGTTCACAAGGTCCAATAATATTATTACGAAGGGCAATAACTCTGTAAGTTACTGTCGAATAATTCCCATTTTCGAACTTGTCCGAGATCTTTTTGATATATGGCTGCATACAAAGTTTCATCAAACTCGGTTAACATTTACTCAAGTTATAGTGTTCACAAGGAAAAGTTAACGCACGACGACGGACAAAAGCCTATCACAATAGGTTACCATGACCTATGGTCAGGTAACCTAAAAATCCATTATACACTGGACCAGGATAGAGGGTCCATCTGTACCATGCCAGGTAAAATATCCAGTTATAATGAGCTGATAAACCAAACCAACACAGCACTGATCACTATATGTAACTTTAATAGTATACATAAAATGGTTTTGTATATGTTGCATTCAACTCACTCAAAACAGCTTATCAATAAATGTACATCTCATTTCAGTGGAATAACGTACACATGTACACAAGACATGAAAAAAAATCTCCCATAGAAAAAAACTTAGATAACAAGGAGGGTTCTCCAAAAACTGTACATAATTGGTTTTATACAGGTACATAACAGGATCACTTAATACTATGAGCATTGGGGTTAACTTTCCGTCATCAAATCAACATAATATAAATCAATATAGGAAATATCATATCTATGGTAATTGGGTTAATTCAATGAAACACTATGTACACATGTATATGAAGAAATAGTGATTTATCTTATCTAGATAGTTTATAATTAATAAAGTTTAATAAAAAATCTATTTTATAATATTAAAATGTAGAAAACCAACAAGCAATATAAAACTATATCTGAAGTTTAAAAACTGAATTGTTCTGTTGTTAACACAGTCATTATGTGACTAGAATATGAATGTTTACCTCGAGTTAACCTCATCTATTGGGTTCATGTTTGGTATTCGAATTGTACCGTGTTTAAATACCAATTTATGTTTCAGATCCCTTTTAAACATACTGTTATCCTTGTACTGTTGCAATGACCTCAAACTTAACAAATTTAACCCATTCTCGACTGTCATATGACATGTAACACTGCTATATGACATGTAACACTGCCAGACTGAGTACTAATAGAGATGGTATTACAGCCCAATTTATCTACCACTTGTCGTCCGACCACCCAGTCTCCACTAATCCACTCTATCCAACCACCCAGCCTCCACCAGTCCATTCTATCCAGCCAGTAACCAGTGTTGAAGGTCATCCGACCACCCAGTTTCCACTAGTCCCCTCTATCCAACCACCCAGCCTCCATTAGTCCACTCATCCAACCCCCCAGCCTCCATTTGTCCACTCATCCAACCCCCCAGTCTCCACTAGTCCACTCTATCCAGCCAGTCACCAGTGTCGAAGGTCATCCGACCACCCAGTTTCCACTAGTCCACTCTATCCAACCACCCAGCCTCCATTAGTCCACTCATCCAACCACCCAGCCTCCATTTGTCCACTCATCCAACCACCCAGTCTCCACTAGTCCACTCTATCAAGCCAGTAATCAGTGTCAAAGGTCATCCGACCACCCAGCCTCAACTTGTCTACTCTATCCAGCCAGTAACCAGTGTCGAAGGTCATCCGACCACCCAGTCTCCTATAGTCCACTCTATCCAGCCAGCAACCAGTGTCCAAGGTCATCCGACCACCCAGTCTCTACTAGTCCACTCTATCCAGCCAGTAACCAGTGGCCAAGGTCATCCGACCACCCAGTCTCTACTAGTCCACTCTATCCAACCATGGCCACCCAGCCTACACTAGTCCACACTATCTAACCAGTAACCAGCCTCCACTTATCCACACTACCAGTTACCAGTGTCCTAGGTCGTCCGACCTACCAGACATCACTTGTCCACTCTATCCAACTACCCAGTCTCAACTAATCCACTCTATCAAACCAGTTACCAGTGTCCTAGGTCGTCCAACCACCCAGTCTTCACTAATCCACTCTATTCAACCAGTAATCAGTCTCCACTAATCCACTCTATCCAACTAGTAATCAGCCTCCACTAGTCCACTCATCCGACCACCCAGCCTCCACTAATCCACTCTATCCAACCAGTAACCAGTGTCCTAGATCGTCCGACCACCCAGTCTCTACTAGTCTACTCTATCCAACTACCCAGTCTCCACTAATCCACTCTATCCAACTAGTAACCAGTATCCTTGGTCGCCCGTCCACCCAGTCTCCGCTTATCCACACTATCCTACCAGTAACCAGTCTCGACTAATCATCTCTATCCACCCAGTAATCAGTCTCCGCTCATCCACTCTATCCAACCAGTAACCAGTCTCCACTAATCCCCTCTATCCAACCACCCAGTCTCAACTAATCCACTCTATCAAACCAGTTACCAGTGTCCTAGGTCGTCCAACCACCCAGTCTTCACTAATCCACTCTATTCAACCAGGAATCAGTCTCCACTAATCAACTCTATCCAACCAGTACCCAGTCTCCACTAATCCACGCTATCCAACCAGTAATCAGTCTCCACTAATCTACCCTATCCAACCAGTAACCAGTGTCCTAGGCCGTCCGACCACCCAGTCTCTACTAACCCACTCTATCCACCCAGTAATCAGTCTCCACTAATCCACTCTATCCAACCAGTAATCAGTCTCCACTAATCCACTCTATCCGACCAGTGACCAGTCTCCACTAATCCACTCTATCCAACCAGTAACCAGTCTCCACTAATCCACGCTATCCAACTAGTAACCTGTATCCTTGGTCGCCCGTCCACCCAGTCTCCGCTCATACACTCTATCCAACCACCCCGTCTCTACTCATCCACTCTATCCAACTAGTAACCAGTATCCTTGGTCGCCCGTCCACCCAGTCTCCGCTTATCCACACTATCCTACCAGTAACCAGTCTCCACTAATCCACTCTATCCACCCAGTAATCAGTCTCCACTAATCCACTCTATCCAACTAGTAATCAGTCTCCGCTTATCCACTCAATCCTACCAGTAATCAGTCTCCACTAATCCACTCTATCCACCCAGTAATCAGTCTCCACTAATCCACTCTATCCAACTAGTAATCAGTCTCCACTCAATCCACTCTATCCTACCAGTAATCAGTCTCTGTCATCCACTCTATCCAACTAGTAACCAGTGTCCCAGATTTAGAGGACACAATAATCTTTAACAAAATTACTCTAGTTCATCCCACTGTCTCAATATTGAGCCACTTTTGGCCAGAAGTAAAGTGGCTGGATACTGCAGGGTTCATTGTAGATGAGATAGGGTTAATGATGATTGTTGAGGTCATTAATTATCTATCCTGTACAGTTATCTACGTTAGCATGTTGTGTGTATACCATGATGAACTTTCAAATATCACATGAGCACATCTGATTTTACAAGATGGAAAAAAAATCATCAAAGGCATGTTTTTTTTCTTATCAAGTCGTGAATGATTCCTTCCTCTACAAATCCTCAGGTACTATTACAATGGTAAAAGATCCAAGACTACCTGTTAGTCTTATTATATAATTAGTAAAACCCACACCCAATCTACTATCCATCATCCAATCCTATTAAACTAAATTTACATAATAAAATTACAATGATAATTGAGAAAAATGGAGACGAAATGAAATTATTGAAACAAATCTATTTGTATTTGATTCATTTACAAAATCAATTAATTCATTTAATTTAAAAAATTAAATAAACAAAATCAATGAATTGTATTTAATCAATTTAACAAAATAAATTAATCCATTTAATGGTATTTATTAAATTTAACTAAATCAATTAACTAATTGATTTACTTACTCAATTGTAATTTCATATTAGCTGCCTGCACAGGAATGGAGGTTGAAAGGAACATATTGCATATCTCAAGTATTATCAGTGACCTTTCCTGAATCCAGCTCACACCATGGGAAACTGACAAATCATTACCAGGAAAGGATAAACCATAGGAAACTGACAAATCATTACCAGGAAAGGATAAAACAATCTATCCTTCAGCACATAACTACTACCAAGATTAATCAAATTCATTTCTGTTTTCTTATAAATGTGAAAGAAATACAATTCTGACTGAATATGTACAGCAAGCAATTCTCAGGTATGGGAATAGAAAGAAATGTTCATCTTAATACTCGTAACAGTGTGAAAGTTTTCATACTGGTATGAATGTGTTCTTCCACAAATGTTACCAGCATCAGTAGCAACCATAAGCACTAAACCGAATTCATTTGACAGAAATAATTAAAACAAGTTCAAGTATTTGAACAAAATATTAAAAATTCTGTATTTCTAATCCAGTGTACATAAGCTATTACTGTATAACCGTATACAGCACTAAGTAATCAGACTTCATCAACTAAACTATGGAAAACAATACCAAACAAACTAAAACAAATTTAAAAGCTAAAAAAAGTAGCTAGCATGGAAGGTTTACAGCATAACAATAGTGACATCTTTTAAAAATGTTGGATTTTTTTTATTTATTTTTTAATATTTTGAAAGCCTGAATGGAACTGCAATGCATACATGTGTTAGTGATTTACTGACATTGAATGGTAAAACCTAGACAACACATTTCACTCTATATAAACAAGCATTTGAAAAAAATCTCTTTCCTTTAATAACTGAACTTTTTTGGTTTGTTATTGATTTGCTGTAAAGCACCAACATTGAACAACTTTCGAAATGTATGAACAGTTTTAAAGTTGTGCAAACGAAATCTGTTTGTAAACTTTGTAAACCAACAACAAAGGCAGCTTGGTTGTCTTTATATTTCAAGTCTTGAAAGCAAAAAATATAAAATGATCGATGTCAACTTATAAATAAATGTCCCTGTGATTGTTTTCAAGAAATGTTCCGTCCAGGTAGAATGTACTGGATTGCCATACAGACTGAGAAACTAATGTGATACATGTAACACATAAAATGGAAATTATAATATGTATGAAAATAAATTATCAAATCGACAAAAGGTAAAATTCTACATCATAAATAAACTCTCACATGCACAAAAACCCAGGCAGAATTAAACACGGCCAAACACCTTGTATGAAAAAGGATTATTATAAAATATGACTACTTTTCCACCAATAACAGATTACTTCATATATGATAACAGCATAAGTGGATACAAATTTATCACACAGATGAAAAAATAAATACATGATTTATATGGGAAACAATCATCAAACATTAATGAAAATGTAAACAAACAACTACAGGTTTTCAAACATGTGATATCATAAATCTGAGTATTTAGTTAGCACATGCAGTGCAAATAACACATTATGAAGGTGCCTGTCATGCGAGTTTTCACCACTTAGTAACCAACAGAAATCCATCAAGTGTATCTCACGTACCCCGAGTTTGTTGTCAGGGCCAGAGGAAACTCACATACCCCGAGTTTGGTGTCAGGGCCAGAGGAAACTCACATACCCTGAGCTTGGTATCAGGGCCAGAGGAAACTCACATACCCAGAGTTTGGTATCAGGGCCAGCGGAAACTCACATACCCGAAGTTTGGTGTCAGGGCCAGAGGAAACTCACAAAACCTGAGTTTGGTGTCAGGGCCAGAGGAAACTCACATACCTGGAGTTTGGTGTCAGGGCCAGAATAAACTCACATACCCTGAGTTTGGTATCAGGGCCAGAGGAAACTCACATACCCAGAGTTTGGTATCAGGGCCAGAGGAAACTCACATACCCTGAGTTTGTTGTCAGAGCATTAGGAAACTCACATACCCCGAGTTTGTTGTCAGGGCCAGAGGAAACTCACATACCCTGAGTTTGGTGTCAGGGCCAGAGGAAACTCACATACCCTGAGTTTGGTGTCAGGGCCAGAGGAAACTCACATACCCCGAGTTTGGTGTCCGGGCCAGAGGAAACTCACATACCCTGAGTTTGGTGTCAGAGCATTAGGAAACTCACATACCCCGAGTTTGTTGTCAGGGCCAGAGGAAACTCACATACCCAGAGTTTGGTGTCAGGGCCAGAGGAAACTCACATAACCCGAGTTTGTTATCAGGGCCAGAGGAAACTCACATACCCAGAGTTTGTTGTCAGAGCCAGAGGAAACTCACATACCTTGAGTTTGGTGTCAGGACCAGAGGAAACTCACATACCTCAAGTTTGGTGTCAGGGCCAGAGGAAACTCACATACCCAGAGTTTGGTGCCAAGGCCAGAGGAAACTCACATACCCAGAGTTTGGTGCTAAGGCCAGAGGAAACTCACATACCTTGAGTTTGGTGTCAGGACCAGAGGAAACTCACATACCTGGAGTTTGGTGTCAGGGCCAGAGGAAACTCACATAACCCGAGTTTGTTATCAGGGCCAGAGGAAACTCACATACCCAGAGTTTGTTGTCAGAGCCAGAGGAAACTCACATACCCTGAGTTTGGTGTCAGGGCCAGAGGAAACTCACATACCTGGAGTTTGGTGTGAGGACCAGAGGAAACTCACATACCCGAAGTTTGGTGTCAGGGCCAGAGGAAACTCACATAACCCGAGTTTGGTGTCAGGGCCAGAGGAAACTCACATAACCCGAGTTTGTTATCAGGGCCAGAGGAAACTCACATACCCAGAGTTTGTTGTCAGAGCCAGAGGAAACTCACATACCCTGAGTTTGGTGTCAGGGCCAGAGGAAACTCACATACCCAGAGGTTGGTATCAGGGCCAGAGGAAACTCACATACCCTGAGTTTGGTATCAGGGCCAGAGGAAACTCACATACCCAGAGTTTGTTGTCAGAGCCAGAGGAAACTCACATACCCTGAGTTTGGTGTCAGGGCCAGAGGAAACTCACATACCTGGAGTTTGGTGTCAGGACCAGAGGAAACTCACATACCCGAAGTTTGGTGTCAGGGCCAGAGGAAACTCACATAACCCGAGTTTGTTATCAGGGCCATAGGAAACTCACATACCCAGAGTTTGTTATCAGGGCCATAGGAAACTCACGTACCCAGAGTTTGTTGTCAGGGCCAGAGGAAACTCACATACCCTGCGTTTGGTGTCCGGGCCAGAGGAAACTCATATACTCCGAGTTTGATATCAGAGCCAGAGGAAACTCACATACCCCTACTTTGGTATCAGGGCTGGTGGAAACTCAAAATGTATCTCACATACCCCGAGTTTGGTATCAGGGCCATAGTAAACTCACATACCCAGAGTTTGGTGCTAAGGCCAGAGGAAACTCACATACCCTGAGTTTGGTATCAGGGCCAGAGAAAACTCGCATACCCAGAGTTTGGTATCAGGGCCAGAGGAAACTCATATACTCCGAGTTTGGTATCAGGGCCAGAGGAAACTCGAGCTGTATCTCACATACCAGAGTTTGGTGTCAACAGAAAACAACACAGATCACTAGATCCATCTCTTTGCAAAAACAAATGCTTGCTCGTCTCTTTGGAATGTGACAAACTAATGTCCTTTAGCCTGAATTTCGTTTTTTGATTTAGACTTGGTTAATTAATTCATGACAAACCTGAATGGAAAACAAGAATAACATATATAAGGGAGGTAACTCTCACCAAAATACAAGTATTATACATCAGTAAAAAGTTTAAATATTCCATGACTGACCTTCCTTGGCTATCAATGCACCGACTGTATCTGTATGGTGTTAAATGATAATCACATATAAAACTATTAACGACACACTGATTTATACATTTCAAAACAAAAGATGTTTATCAGCTTTGAAAATTTTAAGATCACATTTTGTTTGAACATTGGCAAAGACATCCTTCAACCATTAAAACTGATTCTAGGGGATTCTACCGTACTAAAGCCATGCACCCCAAACATCTATCAAAAATCATATAACAAACCATAAAAACAACAAGTTTCAAATCCTTGTGTTAGAGACTTATACATCAATAACAATCTTTCATCTGTTAGGTGAGGATCAGTCACACTAGTCCTTGTATTATTACAGATGTCATGGCCATCGATGACATTTAGCCATATACACTTCAATCAGTATAGACCGGCCATCAATGACATTTAGCCATATACACTTCAATCAGTATAGACCGGCCATCAATGACATTTAGCCATATACACTTCAATCAGTATAGACCCAATTTTCATTACTATTAATGTGTTTCCAAAAAAAACGTTCCTTCAAAAATTTGCTGCACATCAATAAATACATTTTAATGTTAATTTCACCCTTTACTGTGGAATATCAGCTTAGCATATGGTTTACTTGTGTTTGTTGCCGTGATAAATTTGTCCTCATTTTGAACAAGGAAAACACACAAATTGAACTGTAGTGTAAATTTCCTTTTGTTCATACACTATCCCACTTAAACCCTCAACAGCAGAAAATATAACAATAGTTCACTTGGCTTCAGTGACATAGGGGCCCCGACTCTAATTCGATGTAGTAATGTCACAGGATTACTTACAAATGACCACCCACAAACTTAACTGTGCGCCAGTAGTCATCATAAACATTATCACATATCTACATCCTGCAAACAAGATTACAATATTTTTAAAGTGCATAGCAATTTACAAAGATGCATCCAGCTGTTTGAAACTTCAAAATAATAATCAAGTACATTCTAGTTTATAACTGTATGTTATATCAAATATTATATAGATTTCCAGTAGGATTCAGAATTGAGACAGTGTTTATATATAATTATAATGAAGCACTGAAAGGACTCTAAAGTGGCAATTATTTTCCATTTATCATATATGAAGAAATCTTGATATATCAATCAAAAACAGTTCGGAGAATGTGAGTGTTATATGAATTTACTCAAATAGACAGTAATGTCAATCATTTGATTGGTTTGTTAACTATTGAACTTATATATTCATGGCTTATTTCCTTTCCATTTTAAAACTGAAATTTTAACAATCAAGAAATCCTGAACTGGTGGTAAATATAAGACTTGACAATGAAATCCTGAACTGGTGGTAAATATAAGACTTGACAATGAAATCCTGAACTGGTAGTAAATATAAGACTTGACAATGAAAAGTTTGCATATGAAAGACCAGTGTAACCATATGATTCGGTAATGATAACAAATAACGTGTACAGTAAAAGTTGTCCTCACGATAACATTCCACACAGATTCTGTTTTACATGTACTAACACTTGTTTCCTTTGTATTTGTAGACTTGTATAAAATCTATCATTTTATTTTAAGTCATGTGACTTTTGTTCTACCTCTGACAGCATAGCAGCTTACTGAAGTAATTAATTAAAGAAGTATAATCATCACCTAAAGTTAACATTATAACTAAATCATCACCTACAGTTAACATTATAACTAAATCAGAGAAAGTTTGTAGTGCATCACAGTGCAAACAGTATACCATTCATCGACAAAACAACTTTTACAGTAATAGTTATCAAAAACAACTTTTTGCATGGTGTTGTTTAAACATTCAATATTTAACAATTTATAAGGCAGCAACAGTAGCTTCAACAATGAGATTTGATATCACGCTTTGTTGTAATTATAGAATCAACAATCTATAATATTTATAATACGTATCACTCAATAATGGTCCCGCTGCATCAGATAGTACAGTGATTCCACTTAAGGTCACGCTACTTACAGGGCCACAGGTTTTTGACTGGTGATACGTTTTTACCTTATCATCATGTTTTTTGTTTGTTTCTGTCATATCATATGTAAAGTAACCCAGAAACACTTTTATTGCCTTTTTCTTCAGAACACATAACATTAAGGGGAATATACTGTACTACCACTGACTGCAGGGGAGAAATAAATACTAGTATACTACTGGTAAAGGATGCAGTTTGAACACAGAATTTCATCATGCATTATACACATCTGAATGGTTAACAAATAACGCTAACAGCAAATAAATTATATTAATATATAAACCATATATGCCATTTCATAATTTTGAAATACATTGCAATATACAAATCTCAGTGAAAGGTTTACATTTGTAATTTGTTAACTATATATTAATATACTGTACACATACCACCCAGGCACGAGATACAGGTGAACGTGACCAATAATAACCGTGCCGTAACTTGGCAAAATTCAATAAATATAACACTCAAAAAATTAAAAATGGTTACAAAAATTTGCATTTTTGCTAAGGCAAGGATAGAGACACACATCAAATCATTCTGTGTTTGCATAAGATACATATCGTAAACAATGTCTTACGAGTGGTGTCTATCTTCATTTCCCTCCTACATCTCTCCCCAATCAACATGAAGTAGGTCAACAATAATTTACCACTCCGACTGTTAAACTTTGGACCAGTATGATGTATTTTTAGCCTCAACAGTCAAGCCTCAACAATCCAACCACCAATAATCCAGTTGTTCCACTATAACCTCTGTTTAACGGCATAGGTTTCCAGTTTCTTCATTATATATTGCTAGTAATCAAACCATTTTACAATGCAGCCACTTTTACGGCCAATGAAGCTGACTATTGAGGCCGCACTAGCTCTCTTCCGGAGCCTTGTGGAATATGGTGGTGATGATTACATAGGTTGTGTAGCCCACATATAGGCAACTCTCCAGACAGGCTTCAACTGATTATAACAGAACACTACCTTATGACAGCAACCAAGTGCATTTCAACATCATTCCTATGTCACACCAACTTTTATCCCTATCAGAGACTGAAAGCACAAGACGGTTTCATCTTCTCTACAAATATTTCTAATACTGCTGGAGAAAACAGGTCCTCCATTTCTGATGATCATTACAGGTTTATATAATTATCTAACAGTCTCCAGTTAATTTTAAAACTTCAACAAGACAACAGGTTGGAGAAACACGATAACCAGACATCACATATGGAACTCTAGGGACATTGAGATGTGGACATCAACGTGGCTGCTCAATAAGACCTAGCACCTGCCATGGTCTGTACTAAGAAGAATCAACCCTCTTCAGTGCTCAACACAGTTGGTTTCCAACCCCAATCATAACATCATACTAGATTAACATTACACTTCAAACTCAACAAACATACATGCACAAGAAACCTGTCATCAATCTCTTGTTTTCTCCAAGTTAAAAAGCAGGGAAAACATAGGTAGTCTAATAGCATTAAAGAAACCATGATGACCCCTCCTTATAGAAACATAAAGAAATCATGGTGACCCCTCCTTATAAAAACATAAAGAAATCATGATGACCCCTGACCCCTCCTTACAAAAACAGGTGTTATCACTACATATGGTACAAGAAGAACACCTATACACTTTTTAACAAAGGACACAGGAAAATGTGCTTGATAAAATTAAATTTGATTACATTGAAATGAAACCTGTAGACCACAAGACAATTCAAAACAAACCAACAAGAATCAAGACGCAAAAACTAAATATCAAAATACATATGTTGTTCACTTGTTGGCTACACACACAAAAACTGAGAACATCTTATCTTTGTATTGCCTGTTCTTTATATGACTGTACAGCTGTAATGATTATATATATATCTTTACCCAAACCAAACACATTAAAAAGGAACTCAAAAGCAATCAAATGTTAGTGTATATATATATATATTCAAATGACTGAATCGATACAGAACTCACCTAATCTTATTTTCCTAAATTCTGTAAATGTCATCGTTATATAAACTTATCTCCCTAAAGTATGTGTAACTGTGGAGATCATGGAATGGAGTCATAACAAAAAATTACCACCCTCGAGCTCTTATAATGTCTACTTGAAAAGAGTGGAAACGGTTATAAACGTTTAGCTGTATTAATCCATAGTAATAGGTCTAATTTATTATCTATCTAGTTCTATGTTTTTTAAATATTATTTTAAATTACAATCATGAAATATAATTGAAATTTAAAAGTTTTCTTATAGCATTTTCAAATAAAAGGTATAACATTATTTTGACAGGCACAAAATATTAAAAAATCTAAATACAGACAATCAATTTCTTTGGATTTGAATTGGCTACAGGAACAAAAGATAACCATTAGAATATGTCTGAATAAACGTTTGAGACTTTTGAATTTGGATAGACTGTCTCTGTGAATTGACGAACGACCATTGGATTCGATCATCATCCTGTAAAATTTATCTCATAAGATATATGTTATCCAATGTGTTGATGGTCACTTTTCCTCGGTGTCCTTTTGGTGTGTTTTCTGGTGCTTTGTCAAGTGATACTTCTCTGTGAAGGTGGAGGAGCAGACATCACACTTGAAAGGTTTCAGGCCCATGTGAATTTTCATGTGACGTCTCAGTCTGCCATTGTCCACGTATGACTTGTCGCACACATCACAGCGAAAGCTCTTCTCGTCATCATGCAGTTTGACATGCTTGCTGAGATCTATCTTGGAGATGAAGGTCTTTTCACAGATGTCGCAGGTAAATGGACAATCTCCAGTGTGCACTTTCATGTGCATCTGCAGGGTGCGACTTCGGTCAAATTCGCTGTCACAGATGTTACACTTGAAGGACTTTGGCTTCTGGTTTGTTTGACGTGTGTGTCGCTCCAGATGCTGCTTCAGTCCTATCATGTCTGTGAATATCTTTCCACAGACACCACAAGTACGCTCCTTCTCCTCTGTGTGAGACCACAGATGACGAGTGTAATTACCCTTAAAGCTGAACTTCTTCCCACACTCGTTACACTCCCACGGGGTCTCGCCAGTGTGGATCCGCACATGGTTTCTCAGGATAGAACTCTGACGAAACCGCTTCCCACATACATGACATTCAAAGGGCTTTTCCCCTGAATGAATTCGGTAATGCTCATGTAAATTTGTCTTTGATTTGAAACCTTTACAGCAAATCTCACAGATGAATGGCTTTTCTTCTGAGTGAGTCTGCTGGTGGTCCTTCATGGCCATTATATCTTTGTATGACTTACCACACACTTCGCAGATGTGGAAACGTTCTCCAGTATGTTCTGAAATGTGCATCTGAAGAGCATAATCATCAGAGAATGCATCATTACATGAACTACACTGAAAAGGCTGGAGTCCAGTGTGCTTGCTCAGGTGTTTCTGTAGTTCGCGGTTGTTTCCAAACTTCTTGTCACATACATGACACATAAATGTGAAAATGTCCGTGTGAGTTTTCATATGGAATGACAGTAGATCTTCATGTCCAAATATTTTTCCGCATGTTGAGCATTCGTGAGGTGTGTCAATCCCATGTGAGTCCTTGTGGACAAGGTAACCCTGCAGTGTACCGTACTGGCGACCGCATATCTCGCACTTGTGCAATTTCTTCTTTTCACCTGAATGTGTACGCAGGTGAGACTTTAGGCAGCGTTTCTTCTCAAAAGTTTTGTCACAGACATCACAGGACAGTACTTTTTCTTCCTCATGATTTTCACAATGTGTTCGGAGTTCCACTTTATTCTTGAATTTCTTATTGCAAATTTCACATTGGAGTGCTATACTTTCGGTATGCATACGAATGTGAGCTCTAAGACTTATGCTAGTGTCGAATGTATCCCCACATATTCCACAACGACACAAGAGTTTTTGACCAATATCTTCTTCTCCATTCTCATCCTGAGTATAATCTGAATCCACATTTCTGAAGGGTTTGCAGAAATTGTCATCCATCTCTGCATCATTCTGAACAGAATTTCCTACGCTGTAGTTACTTGAATCAAATCCATCATTACTTTGGAAAGAACTGTTTGTGCTCTGATCTAAATTGCATAAGGTTGCATAATTTTCATTACTGCATAGTGATTCGTCCAGACCATGGCCTCTGGTTTTAGAGTAATTCATTGTAGTATCACAGTTCTTGTTCACCATGTTTGGTGTTATCGGAGTATTATCACTGAAGGTGCTGGTAGCTGCTGAATTGTTGAGCTCCACAGAAAGACTTGGATGGTTAATTGTTGCCCGGTAGCCCACCATGGCTGTATAGGGTTCGGTTCCTGGTGTCCAGGCATAGGCAAAATCATGCAGGGACATAAGTGAGGCAGACACGGACTTGCCAAGGCAGTTTCTGTCTGGCTCCTCTAGCCCCTGTCCATAGGATCCATCCACATGATTTCCATTGTAATTGCCTGGCTTATCATTGTACTTGTAAGGAACAGCACTTGTATAATTTTGGTTCATGTTCATACAGTGCTCACCAGGAATGCTAAGGAGGGTAGGTTCCAGTTTGACAGGTTGAAGGGAAATCATTTTTTGTGCCCCTGATGATGGGGAGGTATCTCCATTTTCTGTCCGGGGGTACTTAGCTGCTGAAGATTGATAACAGTCATTTTTGCCACTCAAGTCTTCACCAGGTTCCCTCTTAACTGATACTGGGGAGGCACAGTTTTGAGGTATCACAGAATAGCTATCCCTGAGATAAATTTCTCGTTGCATAGTATAAGAATCTGTCGATGATACATTAAGTTTCGTATCAACTCCTGGCCAGGTTTGTCCCTTCTGATCACCATTTTGGTTACAGTGCACACCGAGGGTAGTGGCATTTTCTTGTTTAATCTGTACATAGGGGGTATTAAATGTTCCTAAAGTTGAATGTTTTTGTTCAGGAGAAGAATTAATAGGGTCCTGGGCTGGAAAGGTACTGTTGGCTGTGGAATGACTGTTAGGGAGAGGTTGCTTCAGAGAATTACCATTGGTATGATTCGTAAGATTGTAATTATTGTCAAACTGTCTCGGCCACTGCTGATATTGGGGCGGCTCCTTCACTCCTTCATTGTATTCTTTCATTTTTGTGAAATCATGAACAGCTAAGTCTTCTCTCTTTATATTATTTCCTGCTTGTTGAGCATCATTTTGTGATACAGAGCCACCGTTGTCCATTTTAAATACTTGTGAGGTAATATCTTTTTTCTCATATCCATTGTTCCATCCATGCATGCTGTATTGCATCCCTCCATTGGCGTGGTGACTATAGTTGAGCTGTGCCACATCCTTCCATGCGTTTTGGTATTCCGGGGGCAGTTGTACTGGCCCATGATGTTGGATATTCTGTCCATCACTTCGAAATCCTCGCCCTTCATCCTCTGCTAGCACATTGAACCCGTCGCTGATTGCGTTGATCATGCTGACTGCCTCTCTGCCATCTCTTGTTTCCATAGCAATGGTCAAACTTGAAATTCAAGCACAAGATTCATCACTTTGTTTTAAAACTTAAGATGTCTCATGGATGTTGGAGCAATTCTGGATTGTTTTTTAATGCTGGGTGATAGACTAACATGTGGTGTGTCCCATACCTCGTGGTGCTAGCACTGTGACCTAGATGAGAAAGATGACGTCCACCAATGTTTGTGTATCTCCACCAAAACGATTCATGTGGCCGATGTCAATGGAACGAGTCGTCACCAGACTAGGTCATCTCCATCATCACCTGAAATTGCAATACAATTTTTAACATATAGGATAAAAAATATATATTCAAACATGGTTACTTTCACAAGCAGATTAATTTGCCAACGGTGGAAACCCCTCTTTGTTTGCATGTATATGTATCTCAATATATAATTAGTCTCAATATGATGGAGTCCTTTTCATTCAGCACATGTTCTAGCATTGGGTGATACTTAGATTTAGTGGATTACTGGGACAATTTTGTTAGTAGTCCAATATATCCTGTATGATTCGTGTCCTAGATGGATATGTATAAATGTATAAGGAGAAATTCAAAATACTTACATTTTCGATTTAACATGTTGAAGCTTTCATGAAATAAATTCTGAAGAAAATTCACAAATTCTATTATTTTACAAAAAAGATCTCCTCATGAAATTAAAGATTTTTTGAGAAATATTAACACGTTCATTATCAGGCCAGTTTATTCTTCTTCCTTATAATTACCTCTTTATGTGACCAAACCACAAATGAAATTGTTTGATCAATAAAAATATATGCTTTACAGATCTATGTGTGTCTAATTCTTTAAGTCTTTTCATATATTTCACTACATACATATTTTGAATCAGCAAATGGGGTTTAACTACAGTAACATGTAGATCCAAATTAAATATCTACTTAGCTATTAAATACTGGTCTACGTATAATGCAATTATAAGGCAATTGGCCGTCTAAGCTACCTACCCTCATGATCAATCAGCATTGGAAAAAGGAACAGATATCTTGAAATTTGATGAGCAAAAAGATATCATTTTTCAATATATAGATTATACATCAACAAAATAACTACTTCAACTTAGAGCAATTATTTATTCTATTTTGCATTTTGTTGTCAATTTACAGCTGTATGATCTCAATAACTGCTAGATTTTTACTTTTGGTCGCTCGCATGGATGGGTAAACTTAAAGAAATGTGAAAACATTAAATTTCCATAAACCTATATACATAGCTTTAGATGTTGAGTTAACATTTTATAAAATACATGAATATGTTTATCCTATTTATGGTAAATAGATCAAATGACATTATAATTCTTTTACCAGACAGAGTGACTAATCACATACATGTTTTACCTTTTTTTCTCGCCAGTAGTTCTATGATAAACTATGTATACCTGACATACATATACATATGATAAACTACATATACCTGACATACATATGATAAACTACGTATACCTGACATACATATGATAAACTATGTATACCTGACATACATATGATAAACTATGTATACCTGACATACATATGATAAACTATGTATACCTGACATACATATGATAAACTATGTGTACCTGACATACATATACATGTGATAAACTATGTATACCTGACATACATATGCATACCTATGTATACCTGACATACATATGATAAATAACGTATGCCTGACATACATATGATAAACTATGTATACCTGACATACATATGATAAACTATGTATACCTGACATACATATG